TTCTTCAGACCGAATGGCATCGAAATGTAGCAGAACGATCCGAAGGGGGTGATGAAAGACGTCACAAGTTGGTCGGACTCTTTCATCGCAATTTGATGTTAGCCGGAGACACATCAAGGAAGCAGAGGGTTTCGCACCCTGAGGTAGAGTCGACTATTTGGTCTATGTGTGGCAAAGGAAACATATCCTTTGGGCATGCCTTGTTGAGGCCCGTATAGTCAACACACATCCTCCATTTCCCGCTCTTCTTTCATACAAGGATGGGATTAGCTAACCACTCTGGGTGGTGTACTTCCCTGATGAATCCGGCGGCTGATAGTTTTGCTATCTCTTTACCAATGGCCCTGTGCTTTTCCTCATCGAAGCGGCACAGGCGTTGCTTCACCGGCTTGGAGCCTTGATGGATTTTCAAGGTATGCTCGGCGACCTCCCTCGGAATGCCTAGCATATCCGAGGGTTTCCACGCAAAGATGTCTTTGTTGTTGCGGAGGAAGTCGACGAGCGCGCTTTCCTATTCGGAGGAGAGCGTGGTACCAATGCATACCATTTTACCCTTGGAGCTGCTGGGATCTGTGAGGACCTCCTTGGAGCCTCTGCCGATTTGAACAACCCGGTCTATTTCTTTGTGTTAGGCGCTCCTTCGGCGACCTCCTCCTTGAGGGCGGCGAGTTCCCCGGAGGCGACGATTGTTGTGGCGTGGCTGCAGCACTCGACCTCGCACTCGTAGGCCCGCTGAAAGGAGGTGCCGACGGTGATGACCCCGTGGGGCCCGACATCTTTAGCTTGAGGTATGTGTAGTTGGGGACGGCCATGAACTTCGCGTAGCATGGTCATCCCAAGATGGCGTGGAAGGTTCCAGGGAACCCAACCACCTCGAAGGTGAGGGTCTTAGTCTTGTAATTGAACTTACCCCCAAAGGTGATGGGCAGATTGATCTGTCCCAGTGGCATGGCCTGTTTCCCGGGCACGATGCCACGAAAAGGCGCTCGGGTTGGGTGGAGGTTCGTCCGGTCGACGTCCATCTCGTCGAGCGTCTTGGCGTACATGATGTTGAGGCCACTACCTCCGTCCATTAACACTTTGGTGAGCCGCTTTGGGCCGACGATCGGGTCGACGACAAGCGTATACCTCCCCAGGTGCGGGGCGATATCTGGATGGTCGGTCCAGTCGAAGGTTATAGCGGACTCCGACCACCGGAGGAAGGGAGGTGTGGTCGGATGGGTTGTGTAGACCTCGCGCATGCGACCTTCTGACGGCGTTTGGAGTCATAGCCCGCCGATCCTCCGAAGATCATAAGGCAGCCATTTGGTGTTGGAAAGCCATCGTCCTTCTCCTCAGTGTCGTCCATAGTGGGGGCGGGCTCCTTCTCCTGCTATCCTTTGTTGGAGCTTCCAGACAAGACTTTCTACATTAGGCTGCAGTCCTTGAGAGGATGCTTTACGGGAAAGGCGTGGTTCAGGCATGGCCCTTCGAGCATTTTTTTGAAGTGGTTCGGAGTGCCCTCCATGAGCTTCCAACCACCCTTGTGGTCAGCAGCGGCCACGAGTGAGTCCTCGCGTCGTTGCTTCTTATTCTTCCTTTTGGCGAAACGATTGGAGGTGCCTTCGCCGGTACCCTCGTCACGCCTTGCCTTGCCCTCGAGGCGATCGAAGATTGCTCGACCGCTTCTTCTCGTGAGGCGTGGCTGGTGGCAATGTCCAGGAGTTCCTTGGTTCGCGGCCCTTGCATCCTAGTTTATGAACCAGGGATTCGCAGGTCGTCCCGGACAGGAAGGCTCCTATCATGTTAGCGTCGACGACGTTAGGGAGCTCGTTGCACTGCTGGGAGAAGCGCCGGATGTACCCGTGGAGGCTTTCACCGGCCTTTTGATGGCAGTTCTTGAGATCCCATGGGTTCCCAGGGCGTTTGTACGTGCCCTGAAAGTTTCCCACAAAGATCTCCTTTAGATCCGCCCAACTCTGGATTGCGTTGGACGGCAGGTGTTCCAACCATGCCCGGGCCGAATCGGCCAAGAATAGTGGAAGGTTGCGGATAATGAAGTCATCATTATCCGCACCACCGGCTTGACAAGCAAGCCGATAGTCTTCAAGCCAAAGTTCGGGGTTTGTCTCCCCAGAGTATTTAGGGATATTGGTAGGTGGTCGATACCTTGGCGGGAATGCATCATTGAGGATGTGCCGGCTGAAGGCCTGAGGGCCTGGCAGGCCGGGGCTCGGGCTCCGGTCCTCGCCGATGTCGTAGCGTCCGCCGCGTCGAGGATGATAGCCACGGCGGGCTCCTTCCCTTGGGTCACCATAGGTGCGCCTGCGGGCATCGATGGTGCTGCGTGTATCGCGGTTGCGGCCAGAGACGCTGATGTATCTGGGTTGCAACGCGCTGCCCGCCACCTTGTGGTGCTTGGTGGACTGATGCGTCCCTAGCGGGACGTACTGAGGGCGTACGTTGGCTGGTGTGGAGCTCGCGTCGTCGAGACAATGGGCTTTCCGCCTGCTGCGCCGCCGCACGCTCGAGCAGCATGCGAATTTCACGGTGGGCCCGGCGATCCTCGGGCGTTGCGGCCTCTGGAAGGCCATGGAGCAAGACCGTTGTGGCGGTGATGTTCTGGCTCACCCGAGTGAAGTGAGGAAGGGTTTCATCATCGGCGATGATCCTTCGGTTTATGTCGCGGGCCACAGCGCGTGCGTGCCCACCGTCTCCACGGTGTTCGATCTCCCGATCGACCAACGCGTATTTCCGAACAAGTTGTTGTCCGCCGTTGATCTCCCACTTTTGGGCTTTTAGCTGCTCCACCCCTACGTGGGACGGGGCCACCGTTCTTCCTTTGGTTCCATCACCGAGGTTGCCTGCTAGGGTAACCTCCTTCTCAGAGGTGCTTTTGACGTGTCCCTCGGAGGTTTTCGCCATGAAACATTCCCGGGAGGGATGATGGCTCCCCGTGCTGGAGTCAGAGCCAGAGTCTGACCCGGACCTTCCGCGAGGAGGCCATGGAGGGATTCTATGACGCTTTCGATCATCCCCACGAACTCGTTGTTCGTGGGGGACGGATCTGCGCGTGCCACAAGGTGGCTTACGGTCGCCGTGGCGTTGCGGGGACCGAACGGAAACGTCGGGGGCGCTCTACGCGGAGTGTTTCGGAAAGAGGGTGAGGCGGTGTGGGTTCTCCCTGGACTACTAGGGTCCAAGGAGACGTCGGGCTGGCGCTCAAGCCTCCTATAGCTAGAGCCGATGGATGGGAGAGATTGGATGGCGAGATGGGCCAACGCCAACTCTCCTCCCACCGTGACGATGAAGTCCAGGTCACCGAAATGCACGTGCGCGCCCAGGACCCAGCTGATTGCATGATTAGCCATCCGAGGCCTGATTTGGAACGCGCAAAGGCCCCTACCTAGAGCGCCAACTGTCGGTGTTTCGAACAAACACCGACAAGTAAATTTATAATTGTTGTGCGTTAGGCCCGGATGGGGCACTAAAGGACACAAGGTTTATACTGGTTCGGGCTGAACGTCCCTACGTCCAGTCTGCTGCTTCTCGTATTATTAGTACCGAAAAAGGTTCGTAGTAGAAGGTACAAACGGTCGAGAGAGGGACGGGTCCCAAGTCTCTGATGGAATGGTCGAAAGGTCGCCGAGAGCTTAGTCGCTGCTCAGCTGTGTGTGATGTGTGTTGTTGAATCATATCGATTGATCTCTCTGTGAGTTGATCCCTTGTCCCCTTAGCGGATTGGCCTGCCTTCCCTTTTATAGACCAAGGAAGACAGGGGTTACATTTCGGAGAAAGGAAAAAACCAGAGGCCAAGAAGTCCTTCCGAAGGCGCTAGGTCTTCCTTTTCCACTGAGCCGGCTTTGCTAACACGGCCAGATGGTGTCAGGGATTGGCACGTTCGCCGGACGCCTGTGTGCTGACGACGCCACGCCCTTACTTGATTAGCAAGTGGTCACGTCCCGTCCCGCCCCTCCGGGTGGCATGTCAGACAGGGGTATTGACCTGTAGCCCTGTGGGGAGCGGATGGCGCGGTGACTGCACGTTCATCACTGTAGAGGACGCGAGTTTCTTCTTGGACCGTAGTGGTTGTCGTATGTTTATGTCAAGTTCCGCGCCCGAGGGCTGAAGGCGGCGCCTACAACACTATTCGGACTCTGCCATGCCCGGAATGGTCTAAAGCGCCGTCCGTCGTACCCTGACGGTACTTTCCCGCAGCGGTGCGCAGGCATGGTCCTTGGTGCTGCGTTTGACTCGAATATCCTGTCGTACCCTGTGCTTGTCATTATGAAGGAACAGGGTGTAGTCGTCTGGCGAGGTGGAGTCTGCCCTCGGACGTCGGGCGAGGCGGAGCCTGCCCTCAAAAGTCGCGCGAGGCGGAGCCAGCCCTCGGGGGTCGGACGAGGCGGAGCCCGCCCTCGGACGTCGGGCGAGGTATAACCCAGCCCTCGGGGCTCGGGCAAGGCGGAACCAGTCTTCCGTCGTTCGGACAAGAAACGCAGTAGTGTTCTCGTTTTATCGGAAGTGTCAACGTTCGATGGTCATTAGTTTCACCTCATTAGGTACCCCGGTATTAGATCCCGACACGACTGCTAACTACACTTGGAGCAAGATAACAGCCGGAGCTTTACTAAAACTTGGACCAAGCCATCTTTTCTTGGGCTTGAGAGCCTTCTGGACGTTAAGTGCCATCATAGTACGTCCAGCTGGCAATGCCCTCCCAACCGTCAGAAACCGACTCGATCATCTTCACCTCAATCCTCAAGGAATAAAGCTAACCTAGGCTCCTACGAGTAGTGTCTCAGTAGGGGATATTTGGCTCGACCCCAACAATCTTAAACCTGTACGACAGTACGAGTACTCCAACTCAGAGCAGAACCCGAACTCTTCCAAGGAAAGCGCTATATATAGCTGCCTCTGCGCCTCGGCCTTCCTGCACCACCTTCCTTTTCCCTCCCAGCTTCAGCTTCACACCTCCACAGCCTTCCTACACCGGCAAGAAACTCGCAGCAGGTCTGGGCATGGCGGCCGAGAGGCGCACCATTGGCATGGGCATGGACTACTCGCCGTCCAGCAAGGCCGCCGCGAGGTGGGCGGTCGACGACCTGCTTAAGGCCGGCGACAGGATCATCCTCGTCCATGTCCTCCCCAAGGGGGCGGACGCTAGCCACAAGGAGCTCTGGAAGAGCACCGGCTCTCGTAAGTATCATTGGGTTTTCACTTCTAATGGTATCTCTCTTGAGTTCAGACTCTTCTCCATCGCAAAGATTGTCAACTGAACCGGTGTTTCTGTTCCTCTTTTTTTAACCAGAAGCTTTGATTCCTCTACCGGAGTTCATGGAGATGAACGTGCAGGCGAGGTACGGGTTGAACCCTGATAAGGAGATAATGGAGATCCTGCAAGCTGCATCCAAGTCCAAGCAGGTAATATCTCTACAGCAGCTACTATCTTGTTGGCGGAATTTTCTGTTATATGCGATAATGCAGTTTGTTCACTCTTTTTCAAGGGTTCCGCTAGATGATTAAGCTAGAGAATGAAATTGTACTGTTACATAAAAATTAAAAACAGAACACATAGTTTGCAACGGATACAATCCAAAGTATATTTGTATAGCGCAATAGCAAGGGCTATGGCCTAAATTTCACACCTAATGCTACAGATCTGAGTAATATAGTTAGGATTCCATCAGAATTGTATCCAACAAGGAAAAAAAGAAGAAGAGTATTCAGTCAAATTCTCATATAGACTTGTGTTGTCGGAAGTCAGGTCAATCATCATGAGACCATACTCTCGAATTTAATCAAGTTTACGGTAGCTGGCTAGCTGCTATATGGTATTTTATATCATAGCTTCCCTAAACATCAAACTAGATGAATCATTTTCAGACATTACTGCCTCCTGTATTATCGTCTAATAGTGTGAATCCCTATGTGAACCAGTCATGACAAAACAATGTGCCAAACACTACCCAACTATTAAACAACCAGCAGAATTAGTAAGGGTACTGAGTGAGCAGCTGACATATGAAAACATCGTTTGCCCATACAGCCAATAGAGCTCTCCATGGCAGTCCCTTGAGATTATATGCACAGCTTTGTCAACCCCGCTTTTTATGTTTTGGTAAGGCTAAAGGCAACAGCCAAACATTGTAAAAGGTTACCTGTCACCTGCCTTTCATGGCTCCAACTATCTACAGTATTATTTTTCTTTTTGGAAGCAACAAGCTTATAGATCTATCCATATTTTCGACAATTTCATGGTACAAGTTATAAATGTGAAAGCATACGCAATCGGCTAAAATAGCTGATTTCAAACATAGTAATCAAACAAAGCACATGTCTTAACCATAAACAAACTCATTAATTAATAAATCCCAATCTAAAGTTCCACTAGCGTGGTTCGACCGGATCGATGCAACTATGGTAATAACGATAAATCGAACTTTATCAATTAATGAATCTATCTAAAATTAATTCATGCCTTCAAAAGCGTACTATGTATGGTTCAGATCGAGATAAAACAACCGATCTTAACAGAACAAGTCATCAAATTTAAGATCTGATCGTGACAAAGCCAAAAGACGACCAATTGACATGATATGATGCCGAACTATCTTGATCTTAACCGGATAAATTGTGATATTATTATAACTAACGAAATATTAATTATAATAAGATCGATAACTGGATGAATTGACCGAAAAGAGCAAGAAGAATCTTACTAGTCTTAGTCAAATTCGGTAACTAGTGACCTTGTAATTAATACAAGATCGATAAGTTTGATCAATATCAATATCTACAAGAGATCAATCGGATGATGCAGCCTCGCAAACAATGATACAAATCGATAACTAACTTATATTATAATTCGCAAGATATCAAACGGCTGATGCAGCCTTACAAACAATAATACAAGTTGTGACAGTACTCACAGACAAGCCCGAGGTCGATCAGCCGATGCAACCCTGCTTGTTGAAGAATTCGCTGAGATCTACATTACTTGTACCCCTAAGGGTTGGCGTGAAGTCGAAAAAGTAAAGAATGATTTTGATTGATGTGTAGATCTCTTTGATACAATAGCCGGGGGTTTATATTTATACCCTAGGCTAATAACTCCTAACAAGCCATGTACGTAACTTGCCTAACAATTGAAAAGAAATACTAAAGTACATGGACTCTAATTTCTCCTTTTTAGAATCCTTGCTAATAAAGCTTCTTGGCTGACGTATTCTTCCTTGATATATATCCTAGAGTCCACCATCTTCCAATAATATTTATCAGTGTAGGAAAATAGACACTAGACCCATGTACTTTGCATTTTGGTGTTTGATGACCAACACAAATTGGACTAAATAAGTAATTGACTTCAATGGATTTTGAACAAAGTAATTGATTTTCATACTTCATAGAAGACATACAAGGTCAAGCAAAGTCCAAGCAGCCGAAGTTGGAACCAAGCCGGACTAGATCGCGAAGAAACGAGCCGGGAGAGGTGACCGGTGTATGAGTGACCGGACGCGTCCGATCAGTGCCGATCAACAAAGAAAGCGCCGGCAAGCTGTGACCGACGATGACTGACGGAACTGCATGTTCTGCAACCGGCGCCGAATATCAAAAGAGGTTTGACGGCGTGACCAGACGTGTCCGATCAACGATGACTACTGCATGTTCTGCAACGCCGAATATGCAGACTTGACTAGTGACCAGAGAGTGTTGAGAGTGCTAGCGTGACTGATGAGTGACGACTGCTGTGGGTTTGATGAAGTCGCCCAGGACCAGGTATTTGATTCCTTCACTGGTCGGCATGCATGCAACACGACCGCATCTGTTACGCGGAAACGGGGACTCGGCTGTTCGACGATATATATATATATATGCTCTCGACTGATACATAAGTCGGCTAAAGTTATTTTGTTATGAAAGAAAAATACTATAGATTCTAGCTGATAAGTCGACTGATAAGTTCAAACGAATAGGACACAGTGTATAGACCGTTTACCTGAACAGGGCATAGTGTATAGACCGTTTACCTGTCCAGCTTGGAATGGTTCAAGACTTCAAGTGCTGCTACTTGTTCGCCCAAAGAGATGCTAGTAAGCAATGCTCTGTTGGGCGTGTCGCGTACGTTTCGACGTCCACCGGGAATATCTTATGCGCGCTCTTGGTTCGTGCTTGTACGCGTCGCATACATGCATGCACCTGCGCCTGTAGTATAATTCTATATCCTTTCCAAATTATAATCCGTTTGACTTTTTTTTATCTTAAGAATGACCGCTCGTCTTATTAAAAAAATTATGCAAACATAGTCAAATTTAAGTCTTCCTTTTTAGAACTTTTGTTAATAAAACAAGCCACAACAAAAGGAAGTAATATTTAGCATAAATTTTTAAATAAAACGAGTAGTCAAACTTAGGGTAAAACAAGTCAAACGAACTATAATTTAGAACGGATTTAGTAGCTAGTATCGTTTAGCTTCCTCAGCAAGTCATCAGCAGAAAAAGAAAACAGAGCGCTCATTCACGTGTCTCATGCATTCATCATCTAATGTGTGGAGAAATGTGAGTTCCAGTGATGTGTGGTCCGTTGTTGGTTGATGAAATGGAATATCTTCAGATCAATAGTTGCGCTCCAAATGCATCGAAATAGAAAAGTATGGCATGGTACATCTCATGAATACTCCTGAAAGCTTCAGAGAACAACCTGCCTCCCGGGTTGTCTTGCCATCTTCACGGAATTAGCGTGGAGGAAGAAAAGCACATCTTCAGCTTTCCGAGAAATTGAGGGAATATATAGGAGTGGCGTTTACTTTAGAAGCCGTAATATAGGAGTGTTTACACATATAAGAGCTAGCACAAGTTCTGAACCTGCAGAGTGCAGACTGCAGTAGGTATAGTTTCGAGCAAATCAACACACATGACAGTTTCACAGAGGAGTGTTTAACCTTTTGGCTGATATTATCAGATTCAGATAGATCTCATATTCTCATGAGTCATGTATATGTATGGCTTGAGGCCTTCTTCTTAGAACTGGCAAATGATAGACAGAGAGATTTTATTACAGGATCTGCTTTACATGACACTTACACAGTTACACTCCCTTTCTGCAGAGAATTCCAACACCCATACAAAACACTTAACAAGACCAGGCATAAATCGAATAATAAAACAATGAAGTACAAGGACTCACTACTACGATCGAATTTCATGAACCATGCATGCAGCTCCTAACGGCGTATACAAAAGAATAATTTGGCTACCTTAGATCCTGAACCTCTCATGTCTTTAACTCTGCATCAATCACTTTGTCTTGGGAGATGAGCAACCGCAGAGGTAGTCCCAAATGCTCTTCTTCACGCCGTTACGCTTTGCCATCGTCCTTCACCCAAGAGCTCGCTTAGCTCAACAAGTCCAAATGCTTCAAGAAGATGTTCCTGAAAATAATAAAATTATATTAGCTACCTCAGACAACTTAATAAATTGCCCATGGTGCAAATGACAAACGACGACCTATATATGTCATTACATATAGCTGGTGATAGAACTAACACAAGTGAGATCTGCTGCAATCAGCGCATAGAAGCATTAAAGCATACATATATATGCCTAGAGGCTAGAGCATCTGCATGCATCTCCAGAGAAAGATTGTACGTACCTGAAATAGAAGCTCTTCTGTAACTGAGCAATGAGCAATGCAAGGGTGGTACCTTTGCTGCAAGCCTGCTACTCCTTTTATAGTAAGCTCGCTGAAGAGTATCCCCCTTTACCTTATTAGTAATTGTACGAGATATTACTTGGAAAAGCTCGCGAGAATAGACACATGAATTTTCAGTGAAGAACGAGTCCAGCTTCCTGGACTTGAACAGGAAATGTGCGGTCCTCTCAGAGAAAGTCCAGTGACAGTTGGTCGCCATCAGCTTAACTGAACCTACCTACGCCCTGAATTTGGATGCGTAGATACAGCGAGTCTTAGACGTCCAAGTTTGTTTAGCGCTGCACGTTTGAAACTCTGAATAACGTTGTAAACTGAATGCGACTGCTTAATTAGTACGTATCGTTTATAATTCAAAAAAAACGTACAGTAGTGGGCTTCAGTCAATGCTTCATTTCAAGATCCTGGCTGAGTGCATACGTGTAAAAAAAAGAGAATTATGTATTTGGCACTGAAACAAATCAGTCTTTCGTATTTGGCATTTAAAATTTTAAACTTTCTTATCTAGCACCAAGTTAAAATTTCCTTCCCTATATGACACTACCGTCCATTTCATCCATTCATATGTTAGTTACTATTTTGACCATGTCAGTTTTTTCTTAGTGTGACCAACCTACCCTCTGTTACTCACGCATCCAATTTCTCCTGGACTTTCCGAGCGGCCGAGCGCTCCTGTCTCCCGTGAGTCCGTGAACTTCTTCCCTGAAAAAAAAACACCAAGCCCTAGATTGATGGAAGGAGGAGGAGAGGATGATGGAGCAGAGGATGTTGTGGCCGGCGGCGCCCAGCACCAGCTGCGCGTGCCCTCTGGCGG